GAGCAGAGAGTCTGCTGTGTTTCCCATCCTGCCATTCTTTCCTCCTGGAGCAGGGAGCTGCCAAGCCCTGCAGTGTTGCTGGTGTTTTCTGGGATACTTTCTGCTAGCTGCCTCCCAGCATGATATGCTGTGGAATCGGCTGAGAGTCCCTGGGTGTGGGCTGCTTTTCAGGGTAGAAGTGATCTCCTGACGCCAGTCATATGGCACAGGATAATACACAGTGAAGAGCCTAGAATTTGGGTTCACTGCCCTGTGCGTCTCAGGATATAAACATAAATGCATAGATTTCAAACATGTTGCCTTTCACTATTCTGGGTGCTGAGATTGAGCAATTGTAACAATATTTTTCAAGAATTTGCATAGACTTTTACTTTTTCATTCCACTAACTTAATTAGAATTCCATTTAGGTAATATATGATCTTTTCTAATTTTAGTATTTTCTGTTGCAGGGTAAGAGAACACATTTTATGCCGGCTTTATGAGTTTTTTGTGTTTTTTTCCCAAACAAGTATCTAAATTTCCACGGCACATTATTTATACATAATGTTTATTGCTGTGCATGCCCCAGATTAATCTGCTTTTCTTCAAAGCTTAAACAAACAGTCTCTTTCCTCAAACAGGTACAGCACACTTTGGACCCTTAGAATTACTTTCACCTTGAAGAGCACAAGCTTGTGCTGTGAAGGTCACAGAATTTTAGTGTCCTGCGTTCCCAGCTCGTACCTGACTCAGGCAGCCTCCTTCTACACAGAAGCTCATTTCCCAGGAGGCCAAATGAATTCACACAAAGAGTTTAGAGACCCAGGAGGGAATTGGAAAGTGGAACTCCTGAGTGTAGCCTGAGCAACCGGAATAGCCCACCCAAAGTGCTGTTGTAACCCTCTTCTGAAGATCCCGAGCGAATGCCTTGGGCCCTGGGGCGTGTTCTGGGAGTGAGATGACCCAGCACACGTGTGACAGGGGAGGGCGGGACGGAAGTGGGCACTGAGATGCTGAGTTAGGCTGTGCCGTGATGATGCTGGGAACTGTGGGCAACTGCAGCCACTGGAAGCGAAGCTATGGACAAAGAGGGAACCCAGATGCACCCCACACACCTCAGTGATGTTTATCACTTACTGGGTTTCACCTGGCATGATGGCATCTGGATCTTTTTGTCTCCCAGAGGGCAACTGAATGGAGAAGATACAGCCACTGCCTCCTCCCTTTCCTTCTTCTTTGCCTTTTCCTCCTTTATGTTAAGAACATTTTTGTCCAAATAATTATCTTTGAGAGATGTTACTATTTCTCATACTGACTTCTGGCTCCTGGAATTCTTTAATTTTTCAATCCACTTTATACATTTACGTTTTTATTCCAATCTGTACATTTCTTGTCAGTTAGGTCAAGGTGATTCATTTCTTCATAATAATTTAGGCACCAAATGCATACTGTTCCATGTCAGCAGAAAATTAATAAAATGTTGCCTTTTACTATTTGAAGACAAGTTTTGCCTCTTCAAAGCTGGGGCATCTGTTGTCCGTGTTGTAAGGTTCAGAAACAGAGACGAAAGGGCTCTGTGGCATTTTTACCCTTGTGGCTCCACTTTTCACTGCTATTGGAGGATGAAGTAGGAGAAGAGAAAAAGCCATGCAGCAGTTTATTCTCCAGAGCTTCTGAGTGACTGTAATATGACACTTCAGCTAATAAGCTGGAACTAATTCATCCAAATGAGGGGCACCCCCTTCGAAGTTTTCACTTTGGGAAAATACACATAAATTCTGTTAATGCGGCCTTGCTGAGGAAAACATTTCATAACTTTCTTTTTGAAATAACCTTGAGCACCTGAGAATGTCCTGGTCGATGGCAAATTGGTATAGATCTAGTATAGATTTATTTTGAAGAAGAGTTTCTTTCTTTTGTGTGTGTGAAATGGCCCAGTGTCCTGCAGGAGTAGAATTAGATGGATAATTTAATACTTGGTGGTATAATATGTAATATCACCCATGCTCTAAGAAGAAATTTGCGTCTCAGTAAATGACACTGATGCTCCAGGAATGTCATACAGAGGCACAAGGGTTCCTGAACCAGGACAATGTCATTAGAAAGAGTGGATAATGAACTAAGAATGCCCCTTTGACAGGCAATGCTGTATTTGGTAGAAAGGCTCTGGTGTTAAATTAAAAATATGGTCTAGATTCAAAATTTACACCTCCTCCTACCTTTGAGAAGCCCTGTATTACCTAGTATGAGGCCAGAAGGAGCCACCACTGGCCAGGACAAGGGCAAGATGGCGGACCAGTCTCCAGCCTCCTCCTTAGACCAAGCCATAGCCTTGCCCTGTGTCTGTGGCTGACGGGAGCCTCCTCAGTCTTCCTTTGTATTGAGTTCACCTGTGGTTGTTCTGTTCCTTTCTCAGACCAAGCAGAAAGGAGGAAATTGAAGGCAGAGAGGGTGGGTGATCCTACAAGACGACTGGGTGGGTCAGCCAGAACTTCCAGCCAGAACTATTTCACACAAATAGGCTTTTTGTTTTTCTTTGCAACTGTAAACTTTGTGATCTGGTTAAATCTTTGATAAAAATAAAATTGTTAAACATCCTATCAATGTTTTTAGGTAACATACCTGATTTTACAGACCGTATTAAGGTCACCCCTATTTCCTGGTGCCAAGTGCTGTTTGATATAGTACAGAAAACGGCCTCAACCCTTCAGAATTCATCAGCAATCTTTAGTTAAAGGCCCACACTTGGAGGCTGTTGCCAAGCCTTGCTTATTTAACACTGCTAATCTTTGAATTCAACATGCACTTAAAAATTCAGCCGAGTCCAGTATCCACTTTGTTTCACCGTAATTTTAGTCAAATATATCTGATCCTTGAACAAAATAGCTTAACATTTTGCTCAGTTTTTGCCACTGGTCTTCACACATCTTGTGTTTTCTCACGTACCTCAGAACAAGAAGTTTGCTTCAGTTAGTAGGTTGGGCCACTTAATTTGCGTGGTGGGTCTACATTTATACTCTTCTCTTCAGAAGTCCGTGTCTGGATTCAAGTGGTCAAAATGGTCTCATTCCTTAACCCAGGCATTAATTAAGATGATGCCTGCTAAGTATTTCTTCACACAGTGGTCCAATTCCAGATATAAAGTCTCTTAAAACATAAGAACCCTTCATCTTTGATGTGTTTGGTGTATAAAGAGCAGCAGGAGAAAAGTATCACAAGACACAAAGGCACAGTTATGTGGGGTGAAATATCCTTGAATTACTGGAGCAGCATCGGTTTCATTAATGCCTCACAACAAAACTAACAGTATAGAAATAGAAGCAGAACTGTCCTTCCCATGCAAGCAGACTCCATTGAGTAACGGGTTATGTTTCTCATACTTTCAAGATTAGACCTTCAGTGTGTGCTCTGCTCTGAAGAAAACCACCCGTCCTACCCTTCTGTTGAAAGCATTTATCTTCTCCCTTTGCGTTGTCTGTGATTTGGTAAAAGTTGCGTGTGGCTCAGCATTCTAATGGTCTTTGCCTTACGTTCACTAATATTTTTGGTTGCTTAGATCAGGATGTCAAAGTTCCCTCTGCTCCTTTCTCAAACCCTGGTTTTAATTCCTTTATCATGCTGCAGTTCGGGCTTATTAGATTTCCCTTGGACCTTTATTCAAGAGCGATACATCAAATGCACAATGTATCAACTTTCTCTGCATACTAAAAAACACATGTGCTTTTGTGTTTAAAACAAGATGTGGACCCCCATATGCATACAGATACACATTTGAAACCCGAGTGTCTCCTTCAGACCTTCCTTTCAAAGAAGCCAGGAAAGCGATCAAGGTGGGGATGAAGGGGGAGTGGGGGTGGCTGGGGCGAGGGAGAAAATTGAACTTTCTGAGATCAGTACTTAACATAAAAATTTCATCACAATCTTTATCATCTTGCAGTGGTTGCAGAAAAGGCCTAGGCTCCCTCCACCTTTAACTTCCTAAAGTCGCCTGTTTTACCTTCAAATCTGATGAAGTGTCAAAGTCATTTACCAGTAATGAGTTCTGCTGCAAATTTTATTTTGCTTGGAATTTAATTAATGGGCCAAAGACTTTCCATTGTGATTTGAGCAAATGAATAATAAATCAAGAAAGGAGATTTGTCAGGGAAGGAACATCTGTTTCTTACAAGCGTTACAACACGACTACAGCTTGGCTGGGCATTACCGGCACAAAGACAGTAGGAGTCCTCTCCGGTGCAGCTCTCTTCATTTATTGCTCCACTGAAGGTGAACAGAGAGCGCTCTAATGGGCCTCTGGTGTTAATAAAAGCTTTGCGCTTCTCCAGCTTGGCTGGAGCCTCTTCCTTTAGGGCGCCACTGTCCTTAGTCCATGGTTTGTTGAGCCACGTCAGGATTCTGCAGTGTCAGGACTTTATTGGATGATTAATAAGGGAAAGACAAATTCATAAGCAGAAACAATATGAAATTACCATCGTATTAGTGTTCACTGTCAAGCTTTTTGTTTTGGGGGGTTTGTAAATGAGATAGTGATTGAAGTTAAGTACTTTGACTCACACTGTCAAAAAGCAAAAATAGGTCACCCGACCTGTTGGGTTTTGTCTAGTTAGCCAATAACAGACTACGGAGAGCAGAGTGACTTTCGTAACCGTGCCAGGGCATCCAGTCGATAGTCTGAGAAAAAGGAGAATTAGTGTGATCCACTAGGGTCTGCACTTGTGGGGGATAAAGAGACAGGACCGTGCCTTCGCTGCTATTTATCACAGAACTCGCTTTGCTCCTACACGCCAGGGAGCTGCAGTGCCCAGCAGGTAGGAATAAATCGCTCTGTGAAAGTTTGCACTGCGGGGTTCACGGTGACCCTGGTGCGATGTTCATAACGGATGTGGACCTGTCATGGGGCTGACGTCATGCAGGAATAACACCGGGTCTGCACCCCTCCTCCCCTTTAAACCCGGTTTTGGAAGGCTGGTGAGGTGACAAGAAGAACATCAAATTTTATGATTTTTTTGTATGTCTCCAGAATATGCCTCGGAGGAATGTTTCCCTGATGAACCGTGTATTTCCCGCCATCAGGATGATGTGCAGCTCCTGGAACAATTCCCTCCAGCATTCTACACCACTGTGCGCTGTTATGGTGCCTCCATGCCGTCTCCACCCGAAATCGTTCTGCAGAGGAAAGTGGGGAACGTGTCTGTCGGCAGTGGGTCAAGGCCGTTTGGATGTTCTGCGTGGGCTCTAAAATGTACAGGGGCAGCTTGACCAGCTGGGGTCCTTCCTACTTTCCAGGGCTTGGTAATTAGGAAAATAAATGCACCCCCAAATTAGCATTCTGAGAACACCCCACTCATTTCTTTACAACATGAAAAAAAATTCTCAATTCATTCCAGGAAAAGTTGGCAGATAAAATACAAGAAGTGAAAGGTGAGAAAATGGCTTTAAGAAAGATTAAGATGCTCTGTACAAGTCCCAGCTTGCCATGGTGAATGTAATCGTTATGCACTGAATGTATGTACTACGAATAAATATGCAGGTAGAAACACAAAGACCCAGGAGGCTTGGTTAATGAACACTTTTATATAAATAAAATATAGGTACCCTATATTTTATTTGCTAAATCTGCCTACCATTCTATTGTGATAATTTCATTTTTTTTTTTTTGTACCAGGGATCGAACTTGGGACCTCGTACTTACAAGGCAGGCAGCAGAACCACTGAGCTAAATCCCTAGCATAATTTTATATTCTAAATGTTAACTTTTAAGTGACCAACATATTACTTTCTCATACAGTGAGTTAAAATATACTTGCAAAGATGGCAGATGACAGAAGTAGATATGGTCTTGCTATTACAATGAATATGAAAGTATTATTATCTGATAAGTAATCATACTTGGTACTTACAGTAAATGAATAATTTACCCGAGTCAGACATAGACTAACATACTTAATTCTGATATGTAAAAGTACAAACATAATACCATACAGGCCCACATATAAAACATGAGCTCCAAAATAAAGCAAAATTTATTTCTTTCATTAATATTTAAAAAACAATGACTGGACTTGAATGAATAATTCTGCAGTACATTTGGAATATTCATATATCTACTTGTATAATTTATTTTGGGATTTGAGAATGTGTAACATCATCTACCAGGGTGAGACACAAACATTTTGCCCACACACACATTTCATGGCGGTCCAATCCAACTCTTCCTCACGCCTTTGTGTTGGTGTCTTTCTCTCCACTGAGCCTCATTTGTCATAAAAACTCTCACAGTGGCTTTCCTCACACTGTTCTTCTAAGCTGTTTAAGACACACGACACCTTGAAGGCTACACGTGACAGTGTTACTAACAACACAGCATCGGTACCTGTTCATATACTGTCTGGAAAGTTTGTGGGTGTTCTGCACATCCTGCGAGCGTATCTGTACCCTTCACAGCGTAATTATTCATGGCGGTGATTTAAAATGGTCTTTCAAAGACTTAATTCCAGCGGCAGCTTGATCTCGGACTGTGCTATATGTGAACCTTCTGGGGTTTTCAGTGATACAAACGCCCACTGCTATCCTGGTGTTTGCCCCCACTGGCCCAGGCCAGTGGCTGACTTGTGTTGTATTTCTTAGACTTCTTATTTCCTTAAGCTCTTTCCATCAGTGATCGTAATGCAGTTCATTTAGGAATATTAATTTTTCTCCCTAAATTACACATTTCTAAAAAATAACAAAGGCAATGAGAGTAAAACCCCTTGGAAGTGAGAAAGTTCAGAAGGCCTTGAGGTGAAGGTGACTCTTTTCTAAGGAATGATTTTTAGAAAACGTCTTGCCTTGCAGTGGCACATGTGGCGGACTTGTGCCTATGGTGACAACTTGTGGATCGATTTTATAATCAGAAGGTATCAAGGTCACAGCGGAAGCTGACAGCCTTTGAAGTCCAGAGTAATGGTCATGACTATTGTCCTCAGAGTCAGAGGAAATAGAGAGACCTTCTCACTGGATGTGTATATAGTGGGGCCTTAGAAACTGGGAATCTACCCAGGCGTGGTCAGGAACAAAACAATTAATCAAGATAAAGGGACCAGAGTTATAAGTGTATTATACTCTGTGATTCCATCTTTCTTAATTGTCTAGGTGAATTATATATTGGAGTGAGGGTGAGAGTTCTTATATTTTATTTTGTGTTTGAACATTTGATAATTAAATGATCAAGCCTGTGTGGTATATTTGTCAACTAATTCTGGACATTAATCTTTGGTTTAATATGGTTAAACTGTGTGTCTACAAACCTTGTGCATTTGGACCCAAGTATATAATACGTCTTTACACAAACATGCAGAACACAGAAGATGACTTACGGCATGGATTTAAAGACACACAAAGAAGAAATCATGTCTCGAATTTGAAACTAGCTTTTGATTAGTTTTATAACTGTAAGGCTAAAATGCATTTATTAGACTGGCTTTTGAAAGTAGTTCCAGATTTTTTTTAATTCTTAAGAAACTTAAAACTATTAGTGTTATAAAATACGAGGCTGTGTATGACCCAGTAGAACATATAAAGTGAATGCAGGAACAAGGGGAAAAAATGAGAACCAAGACCTGTCATGTAAAGGTACAAGATCCCAATGATGAATGTAACTGTACTGTAGACCTAAAATGTACCAATAAACTCAATGAGGAAAAAAAATAAAATGAAGTGGGTGTATCAAAAATGCGGGTTGAATAAATTGACACGTAAGCAGATGGAAGAAAGGGGAGGTGAAGAGGGAGAGAAGCAGTGCCCAATTCTCAAATTCGTGATGCAGGAATAGGGGGAAGTTGTGTCTGTGTTCTCACCTCTCCTGAGCTGACCCCTTACTATCATTCTCATTGAGTTGTGGTCCTGCTCCTGTAAGTCCAGGCTCAGAATCAGTTTGGCCTTAATCTTGGAGAGCGGAGGATTTAAATACTATAATTGATGATGTCATCGTCAGAGCGAGGCCACCGAAACAGCTCCCTCATAAAATGCCTCATTTCCACCTAGTCTTTGCCACAAGATGGTCCCCACGGGGGACCCCAGAATCACCTGGGGGACTTTTTCCAAAACCCCTCCTGGTATTTGGAGCTGAACAGGAGCCCTCCCCGCTCCAGACAGACTCTAACTGAGGGGCTGTGTGTGGTACCCCTCAAGCGTGTAGGGGAAGAAATTGAAAACAACCAATCCGAAGAGAGGCCGAGCATCTGCCAGTCATCAGCTCTGCCCCATCGCGCTGATGCGGATGTTATGTGAACATAGCACCTAACAGGGGGACTACAGAATCTTCCCTTTCAGCCCATATCATCCAGCACGCAAATGCAGCTTTCAGCGTCAACGGATTTTGTGGGGAATTTTTTTCTTAGGGATTCTCAGAAACATTAACAGCCTAGCAACTCCCATCCCTTCCAGGGAGATGGACACCCGGTGGTGGCCTGGCTGGTAAAACTCCTTCCTGTGTTCTAATAACTTTTTGCGAGCGCCTAGCCGTTGAGATCTCTGCTCCTCAACGCAGCCCTAACAGAGGGGAAACAGTCTGCCCTGTGATTCGCATCGGGCTTTCCAGCCAGTTCCCTGGCAGAACCACCGCAGTCTGTGACCATGTAGGGTGACACGCGCCCACCCGCTTTCAGTCACCGGTCTTGTTTATTTCGTTATGGACTCGGATCAGCTGGTCTGAAGTCAAGATCGTGAACACAGAACTACTACAGGAGGGGCCTGTGAGGTGTCCTGGCCACAGCTGGCCTGAAGGAATATTGCAGGCACTACTGAAGGCCTTACCCTAGGGCTTGGGGTCAGCAGGCGTCACACTGCAGCCTGACCACAGGGATGCAGGCGAGGGCCGTGCTCAGACCCCACTCCGCTGGGCCCCAGATTCAGGGCACGCTGTGGAGGGGTGCATGGGCGCTCACTCTGTGTGTGCAGGCAGGGCCAGAGGGAGACGAGAGCTCACTTTCAGTGCGCGGCTGGGGTTAGGGAGGGCGGATAGGGAAATCCCTCCCAGCAGCCGGAAGAGGGGGAATTCCTATAACCCCACCGTTTGGGGAAGCTGAGGCAGGACTGCCAGTTCGAGCCCAGCCTGGCATCGTAGGGAGGCCCTGTCTTCAAAGGGGAGGGATGTTGCTGGAGATGTAGCTCGGTGTGCATAGACCGGGTTCAACTTCCAGCACCACAAAACATTTTTAGAAAGGAAAGAAGAAATCCCTTTCCAAGTTTCCAAAATAATGAGTTACATTGCAGCCCCAGAGGCCTTTCTCCCCCTGAGAGAATTTGCCTGTGGTTCCGCCTTGCCTGCAACCCTCCTGCCTTTCTCTCAGCCTAGACTTTCTAAGGCCGTCCCTCCTTGAGTCTTAGCTTGTTCCCTCCAGCTGAGAATTCGGGTTCTCCAACGCCAGCCCCTCGCTCACCCTTGCTGTCCTGCCTCAACTACCCGATCCTTCAGGTATCCCGGCTGGCCCCTTTACCTGACACCACGGACAGGTAGATCTCAGAGTGTGTGGTTTTATTTATTTAGTTTTCATTTAGAAACATGATATGGTACACAAATGGTATTTCAAAGAATCTGGGGCAGGCCTTTGTAATGGAACACACTGATATTTCTACAGTTATGAGCACAGATATCCACACCCAGAGCGATGGATGAATGGGTAGAAAAGACTTTACCCCAAGACAGATCAGGCTTTACTGCTAAAGGAGTTAATAAAGTACTTTGTGTTTTCAGAGTTTTTATGCATAAAAATAATTGATAAGGGGTGGCTACATTTTTCTAAAATATAAAAGAAAAACAACAAAAAGGGATGAAACAGTATAGAAATTGGAATCCACCTACATTGCTGATAATTATGTACAATAGAGCAATTGCTGTGGAAAACAGCTCTGCAAAGACTTAAATAGAGATTTATCACAGGAGGCAGGAATCCCACTCCGAGGTAAATGCTCAAGAAAATTGGGGATATGGTCACATAGAACCTTGTACACTAATGTTGATAACAGCATTATTCAAAATAATTCTGAAGTGGAATTACATAAATATTACTCAGTCGCTGAAAGGAGAAAGAAAATGCAGCCTGCAAATTTGATGAATCTTTTTTTTTTTTTTTTGAGATGGGGTCTCACTCTGCAGTTCAGGCTAGCCTCGAACTCATTATATAACCCGACTGGCCTCAAATTCATGGTGATCCTCCTTTACTATAAACACCCCTTTGATTTCTTTCTCTTGCTTGATTGTTCTGGCTAATGTTTGGAGAGCTATCATGAATAGGAGTGGTGATAGTGGGCATCCTTGTCTTGTTCCTGATTTTATGCATAAAGCTTTCAGCTGTTCTCCATTTAACATATTAGCCATTGGTTTGTAATAAATGGCATTATC